AGAAAAAAAGAGGAAAAAAAGAGGAGAAGAGATTCTCAGAAATCAGAGAAACTTCCACAAATAAAAAAATTGGAAAAAAAGAGCACAGGCGCCTCCCGGGAGGGCGGGAAGGATTTTGGGATGTTGGGATGTTGGGATTTGGGATTTGGGATTTGGGATTTTGGGATTTTGGGATTTGGGATTTTGGGATTTGGGATTTTGGATTTTGGGATTTTGGGATCCGGCTGGCCCGCACTCACCTACTTGCCGGCCCGTTTCTGCCGGTACAACGCGTCCTCGCGGCTCTCCTCCCCCACCACGCCCAGGATTTTGGGATTTGGGATTTGGGATTTTGGGATTTGGGATGTTGGAATTTTGGGATGTTGGGATTTGGAATTTTGGGATGTTGGGATTTTGGGATCCGGCTGGCCGCACTCACCTACTTGCCGGCCCGTTTCTGCCGGTACAACGCGTCCTCGCGGCTCTCCTCCCCCGCCACGCCCAGGATTTTGGGATTTGGGATTTGGGATCTGGGATTTTGGGATGTTGGGATTTTGGGATCCGGGCCACACTCACCTACTTGCCGGCCCGTTTCTGGCGGTACATGTGCATCATCCTCTGGCGGAACACGTCAAACGCGTCCTCGCGGCTCTCCTCCCCCACCACGCCCAGCCCCTCCCCGGCCGAGGTGGCGCCCCTGGGGAGGAAATCCCGTCAGAACCGAAAATTCCCGTTTTCCCAAAAATTCCGCATCCCTCGGGGCCCGGCGCTGCCGCCCGTTTGGGGTTCAATTGAGTTGTTGGGAATTCAATTGAGTTATTGGGAATTCGATTCTATGATTTGGTGTTAAATTGAATTATTTGGAATTAAATTGAGTTATTTGGAATTCAATGATTTGGAAGTAAATTCAATGATTTGGAAGTAAATTCAATGATTTGGAATTCAATTGAATGATTCGGAAGTAAAGTCAATGATTTGGAATTCAATTCAATGATTTGGAAGTAAATTCAATTATTTGGAATTCTTCGCAATTATTTGGAATTCGATTCAATGATTTGGAATTCAATTCAATGATTTGGAAGTAAATTCAATGATTTGGAATTCAATTGAATGATTTGGAAGTAAAGTCAATGATTTGGAATTCAATTCAATGATTTGGAATTCTTTGCAATGATTTGGAATTCGATTCAATGATTTGGAATTCAATTGAATGATTCGGAAGTAAAGTCAATGATTTGGAATTCAATTCAATGATTCGGAAGTAAAGTCAATGATTTGGAATTCAATTCAATGATTTGGAAGTAAATTCAATGATTTGGAATTCTTCACAATTATTTGGAATTATTTTCAATTATTTTGAATTTTTCGCAATTGTTTTATTCCCCCCTGCCAATTCCCATTAGAAGGTGAATTCTCAGTTGAATTATTTACATAATTTGAAATTATTTTCAATTCTTTTGATTTCCCCCCCCCCAATTCCCATTAGAAGGTGAATTCCCAGTTGCAAACCCCATATTTCCCCCATTAAATCCCCCATTAAATCCCCATGTTCTCCCCTATTAAAACCCCATAGTACCCCCATTAAAAATCCATGTTTTCCCCAATTAA